TTTTTGTCGGTTTACATCCCGAAGCTGCCCTCAGGTGGGAAGGCACGGCTCAGGGAAGACTCGGCAGTGTCGTCTTCAGCGTGGGAAAATATGCACATGCTCGACGTCCTCATATGTTGGTGGCAATTCGAAAATTCCGAGAAAATTTCAGGAAATTCTCATTGGTTTCTGTACAATTCTGCCCGGATTCGTATGTAAAACGTCTATAATTGGTGAGGAAACTCCCAAGCTTAACTGAGGAAAAGCAAACATATATTCCTCCAACACTGGTCGTCTTCTCATCAGAGCAGTATCCCTCTTCATCGACGCCCTCCAACTCGCCACATTCGAGCGGTACAAGAGCGACATCGACATCCTCAGGCTGTAGCTATAGGAAGACTCCTCCAGCGCCCATCGTTACTGATATTTCTGATGCTGAAGTTGGTGTCCTTTACGCTCGAGCACTGCAAACTCGACGGCTCAGGTTGGTGAGGACTTGGCTCGGTTTTCTCTACGTTGCTATGGTGTTTAGTCTCGCCGGTCAGCCTATGGACACACTCGATTGCGGACGACGGTTACTTTCGTGGAGCTCATCGGAGTCTATGATGAAATCTCGAGAGAAGAAACGCGGCGAAAAGCTCAAAGCCAATATTCTTCGAATCGTCAATAGCTTTACCACACGGTTGAGGCGTGGTGTAGGCTCTTGATTTTCTCTGGTCATTCTGTAGCATCATCTATTGAAGAGTGCTCGAGTGCATACTCCTATGCGCCCCGGGTTGTTGCATGTTCTTCTACGAATTCAACACAACAACAGCTTGTTGAGAGCTGCAGGCAAATGAAGAATTTCCATGCAGAAATCTTGTTGTTGAGTTGATGAGGTTAATACCACTCGAAGAGTTCAATGACAGTAACGCGTCTCGTCTGGGAGAGCATACGGTCACGCGATACAACGACTTTGAAGTGTTTGCTGGAAGAAGGGATATTTCAGTAGTTCGTCCACTTCTGGCCTCTGAAACCGTGCAGTAAAAATAAGCATCTAGAGGAGTCGGATTAGTTTGTTCTAGGGTTGAAATATTAGCTTCCCTCGCTCTCCTCAGCTGAGCTAAGGAGTTTCCTCACTAATTATGGGAGTTTGCGTACGAAGTCTAGTAGAAGTGTACGGAAACCAATATGGACTTCCATAAATTACTTTGGAAATTTTCTTCTCTCTAACGCACGTGGTTGACCATGTACATATTTTCCCACACTTGTCTGTTCAGGCCGTCGAAGCCTCCTCCTAATTTCACGGGAACTACCGCCCTACATGTAGCGGCTGAAGTGAACAACTGCGATGCAGCTGCGCTACTCATACTACATCGCGCTGATGTCAATGCCAAAGAATTCCTAACTGGTGAGTCGGTCCTTCGGCAACGATACCACTCATCGAACTCACTCAGTGGGGGGACGTTCGCCACTTCACGTGGGCGTGAGCGAGAACAGTGTGTCCGTTGTGGAGTTGCTGTTGAAATATGGTGCCGAGCTTGACACCAAAGACAGAAGAGGTTTCACTCCGCTCGTTCTTGCGGCTGTATGCAACAAAACAGAAATGATGAGGCTCCTACTAGCCAGCGGTGCTGATTGTGAAGCGAGAGACAACGAGGGACACAATGCTTTGTGGTGGGCACAGAACGTGGGCTCGACTGAGGCTGCGGATATCCTGAGGGGGCCGCCATGGAACTCAGTCGAAGGATCTATGACCCACGAAGAGCAGACAGCTCATGTGTTGAAGACTCGGGAGCTCCTCGGTAGGATAGGGAGTTCAACATACAGTCATCCTTCGTATGCGGACTTCTTACTTTCATCTTCCACATGATTGTTAAAGGGCATAACTCAGAGTTGATTCAGAGAGAAATGAAATCTATTAGATGTTCCGTAGTTCACCTGCTAACGGCTCCATGTGTGGTGGTACTTGAGAGTAGACAGCACATAAAGCGGTGGAGTGGACACTTTCATGTTGCCTAAATGAGTGTTCCTCATTGAAGGTATGAAGCCACTCGTAATCCCGAAGAAAAGAGGAAAGAAGGGAAAAGCAAAAGGGAAGAGCAAAGCAACGAAGAAGAAATAGACCACTCGACAAGGCTACTCCGAACGACGCAGCCTTGTGTCCCTTGAATGCATCTCTGGTTCATCTTACTCGACAGTGTTCATCAATCAGTCGAGACAATCGTCGTACAAGTGGCGAGTTGCCGGCCCTAAAATCAAATGCGAGTTTTATCAGGGTAGTGAAAATTCCACGAAAATTCATCGAAGAGTTCTCTGAAATTTCCCTTGAATGAGTGAGCCCGAGCACTCCGGAGGGTCTTCGCCTCCTCACTGGGTGCGGTCTAATACCGGATCGGCGGCTGCGGCTATCCAAGCACATTACTCTATCAAGGGCTTATCTGGAGGGAGGCCCTTGGGGCTGATGAAGAAGAAGAGACCACCACGTGGAAGTGAGAGGGGAGACAACATTTGTGTTGCGATGGTCAGTTTGGAGCAGTGTGGGAAAATATACAACTGGTCAATTACGTGCGTTGGTGGCAGTATTAAAATTACGAGGGAACTTACTGTTGTTTTTGTGTGCTTCTATCGTAAGTCGTGTATGAATAATGTGGTAAGAAAACTGCTGAGCTCAGCTGAAGCAATCGAACATATATTTCAACACTGGTCCGGAGTCAGCGTTCATGCATAAGCATTTCAGGAATGGCCCCTCAAGGGTTAGCTCGTAAGAGTGAGCTATCCTACGATGATAAGATGCTGCAATATGCGGCCTCACTGACAGTCGCTGAAAAAGCAGGGTTGGTCGAATCACCACGCAGGCCGTTAACAGAAGAGGAATGGAAAACTGTGAAGTCACTTTCTGATAGTAGAAGCGATGTCTCCTGCTCAATCTGCCGCGAGCCGTTCCGAGACACTTCACAACTCATACTGGCATGCACTCACTCCTTCCACCAGAGGTGCTTCTTGAGCTACTTACACTACGCGGGCTCGGAAACCAGCAAGTGTCCGATGTGTCGCGCAGAGGCTCATGACTGGACCACACATGATGGTGGCCTTAATGTATGGCGCACGAAATGCGCAACTACGATTCAATGTCGTTGGCGAGGATACATCCAGAGGTCGCGTCTGATGAGAGAGCAACTGCCTCCGGGTAGCCTACTCCGGAGAAAGTACACGTTGAGAATGCTCGAAGCGGCAAGCCGTCGAGCTGAGCACCTGGGCCAAGCGAGAAGCGACGCAGTTGAGAAACTTCTGAAGGATATGGACAGAACTACCCTGGAAAGCTCTAGAGTGCTCAGAGAAAGCTTGGCTGCCCTCGAGATGTTCAGGAAGAGCTCCTCGTTGGATAAGGTGATGGTCTCAAATGCATTCCTCCCAAAGAGTGTGACAACATCCATCAATGTGCTTCAGGCGGAGGATTCGGGTCCTACGTTGCCTGATGCGGACATTCCCAACTGGTTGCATGAGGCCGTCGCCAACGTTCTAGAGCGTGGTGACTGCGATTGTCCAATCTGCTATGACCACGTAATGCGGAGTTCATCGATGCGAGAGTATCGAGGCTTTTACTTATCTCAGCTGAGCATAGTGCGGAAAGCTGGAGCACCGGAGCATCCATCGAGACCAATTGCAGTGCTATCTTGCACCCATGTTTTCCATCAGAAATGCCTCGATAGTTTCGAGTCCTTCAAGGTCTTCGAGACGCGTTCCTGTCCTATGTGCCGACAGACGTACGATCGAAGGCCTTGGCCTTGCATGTAGCGATCTCTTTGTCATGACGATGGTCTCGGATGGTCCTTGCAACATCGTGATGTGTTGACGAGTTAGAGTCGAACGCAATCGTTCATCGGTATTGCTATGCAATATAGTCTTCTTTCGTCATCTAGCATAAAGGAGAGTTCGAGATTCAGAACATGAGCCAAAGACTACTAAGTGCCATCAAATGGAGACACGTTTTTCTCAGAGGAAGTTGTCGCGATTAGGCTGAGTCCAGCCAAGTTGGCTGGTAAGCTAGGTGGGTTTCCTAACACAGGTACTGTCCCCGGCCGTCGCGGTTTCACCGTCGATAGAACCCTACGGTACTGACCTCAGCATAATTTACGCTACGGGCTGACCTGTGGGAGCGTGAACATCAGTCGTAACGGTCCGTAACGTGAGTTCGGACCCATCCGTATGGATTCCATACTATGAACTTCCATACTATGGAAGTTCAATTCGGAAACGGCGACACATTCCCCGCGTGGCGGAAGAATACTATCAGGTCTTCCACCATAGTGCTGTAGTGGCTGCCTTTTTGATACATCTGGGCGATAGACTCATGCACGAGCCATGTAGCATGACTCGCTGGTGATCCACTTCATCACCGGATTACTACTGCAGAATGTGATGTTCACATTCTACAGTAGTTCTATCTTGCAACGCGCTTCAGCACGCAGGAACAGTTGTGTTCGGACCGAATACTGTGGGGGCAACCAGACAATGTGGTCCAGTTGCTGGAACAAGCGCTTGAGACATTAGCGCGCGCCACATACCGTCTATGTACGGGAATTGAGTCGTGAGAGTGGTGAATAGATGTTGGCGTAGAAGGTGGCCTAGAGAATCATGAGGCAAAGCACGAGCGTTCGATCCGATATCTAGACTCATTCCCGACAACTGCATCCTAACACAATGCAAGCTAGACTCACAATTATCCTCAGAGTGAGTAGTCATAGACTAATACGATATAGTCCAGTATGTTACTGAACCTGTTGAGAATAACCTACAAAACAGTTCTAATTCAACAGCACAGCTCAGCCCTAGAATTATCAAAAACGGCTAGATATCAGGGCGAGCGAGAAGACTAGTAGCGCTGTTTGCACTTGCAGGACAGCACATCTATCTCCGTGTCATCCAGGCAGCTGATCAATGAACGGAGTCGATTTACACACAGACAAGTTTCGGGGCTAAGATTCCTCGCCTAACAGGGCAGAACGCGACGTTGGGATTTCTGAAGGAATCTTGAAGATGTGGAAACGTGAAATTGTACTACTCGAGTCGTTGAGAAATACAGCTTGGGTGATCGCCCAAGCTGATCTGAATCATTCACGGTGTGGTTGTCGGAGCAAGCCCGAGCTCATTAGGTCAGGAAATTGTGCAACTTCGTTACTTCTTCATGTAGACTTGTATCAAAGCAGATGGTGGACTGTAGTCTTCCACTACAACTTGTGACTCGACGGATGAGGTTGTTCAACCTCATCTATAGCTCAGCCGGACTATGAGCCCATGAGAAGAACTATGTGTATGGATACTCCAATATATTCTAAAACTGTGGACAAGACTTGAAGTCGTGTAAGCGTACTCTAACTTTCCCTGTTGTACTTAGTCCAACCTATGGACGACAATATGTGAGGGTATTCTCCGTCGAGTTATACATTGATGATTTCATCAGTTTCGTCTCTGTCCTTATATTATGATCTATCCAAGAATTGCTTCAGCCATCGTATTAGCCATCATCCCTTCTACGTTCATGTTTGGTTGTTCTTCTGGTACTCCTCCTCCCCAGGTCCCGACAGTTCCGGCTCAGACGACTACCAGTGCTTTCTTGCCAACCACCAACACCGGTACGGCTACTTATCCGAAGACTACACAAACACCGACTAGTAGGAAGCCCCCGAGTACGCAGTGTTCAGGGAGAATGCTGGGTACCTACA